CGGGCCGTGCAGCGCTCGACCCCCATTGATCTCCCTGGGCAGCAGTGACTGGGCCTGCAGGTGCCCCCCGCCTCCGCACCCTCCGCCCTGCCCTGCCAGCTGCAGCCTCTGGCCTGCCCCTGCCCCTGCCCCTGCCAGTGCCCGAGGCGTGGGCACGAGTCTGGGGGTTGCTGCAGCCTGGGGCGAGGAGCGGAGAGAGGAGCCCAGCCCTACGGTGCCCTCCAAGCTCGCCCCGCACAGAGCAGCTTCAGCCCAGCTCAGTGCGGAGCGTTATGCGCTGCCGTGTCCATGGGGCGGTTTCCAGCAAGCCACGCGGTGTGGCAGGGACCACGGCTTGGGGACATGGAACTGGCACAGGCCAGAAGGTGCAGGTCACGGCCCCAAATCTGGGGCTGGGTGAAAGTAAAGAGTTTTTTGGGGTTGGGGGGGGGGTTGCAAAAATATTTATTTCTCTCTATATAATATATATTATATATAACTGTACCTCTAACCACCAGTCTGTGGCTCCACTATAGTTTACTGGGCAGACCAAAGCACACATTACCAGTTAAACTGTTTTAGTCCCGTTACAAAGTTTGCTCCATGCGCCCGCGCCCCATCACTGCTCCAGTGCTTTCACGCGTGGTCGCTGTCCTCCCCCTTGTTCCCCTCTCCACCAGCTGAGCTCTGCCATCTCTGTCCTGTCGTCCTCGCCTGTCTTCCTGTAGTGCCAGTACAGTTTGCTCAGCCCCGTTTTAATGCAGTCCTTGACTGTGGGGTCCGAGTGTCTGAGCAGGTTCCTGGCCTTCCACAGACATGAAGCAGGAGACGGACGGTCGAAGCGGGCGGTCGGGCCCTTGCTGTTCGGTCAGGTGCCCGTAGAGAACCGCGTCCCTGGGCAAGGTTCTGACCCGTCACAACCAGGAGCGCGCAGACTTTCCTCCACACCTCCCTGGCGTACGGGCAGTCCCGGAAGAGGTGGTCGATCACTTCTGCCTGCCAGCAGCAGGTCTGTCTTGGGCAGTCTGATGGACTTCTCTGCCCTGCGCTGTCTCTTCACGCCCGCACGGGGAGTGCCTGGTGGGACGCTGCCAGTTCAGGTCTCTCTGCTCCTTCTGCAGGTTCTTGTAGAAGATTCGCTCCCGCACGGCCTGGCCGCTGTCCCCCGGTAGTAAGTCCATGGGCGATATGATGTCTCTTGCCCTTACCACCTCCCGTATCTTGCAGTGGTTTGCCAGGGTTGCATCGTGCAGCTTGCATTTCTCCTGGAAGCATTTCAGGACCTCGTAGAGCCATGGGGACACCATGGCCCCCGGTCGTCGTGTGCCCCTGCCACTTGCAGCAGCTGCCCTGCAAAATACTCGACAAAGCTGACTCTTTTGGGGTCCACCCCTGTTGCTAGTTTGCAAACCTGGCTTATGTACTTGGCCCAGAGGAAGAGAAGGATGTCTGGCGTTCCTCTGCCTCCGGACCATTTCGCTTTGTACAGCTTGGTCCTCACCACTTTCTCCCACGTGGAGATCCAAAAGAAAACACGCGGTTCTCTGGATTCTGCAAACAGCCTGTTCTGAGGGGGAGACTAGGGCGGGGTGTAGCAGCATCAGCAGCGCGGAGCCCGGGTCCTGCCTGAGTCCTTGTGCTAGTGATTCCCTTGCGCAGATAAACAGGACCGGGGAGAGCAGGTAGCCCTGCCTGATGCCCAGCTCTACCATGATCAGAGCTGCCAAGGACCCGTTCACCAGCACCCTGCTGCTCACGCTGGTGCACAGTGCCTTATCCAGGTGACAAAAGTTGCGGGGACTCCCATCTTCTCCAGCGTCTCCAGTAGGAAGCGATGGGCTACCCTGTCGTAGGCCTTCTCCAAGTCAAGGTTCAGCGCGGCGACTTTCTGTCCCCTCTCCCGCTGGTACTGGAGTGCATCTCGCAGCTGCATCGGGGCTTTGTGGATGTGTTGCCCTGCCACCGCGCAGGCCTGGTCCTCACGGATCGCTGTACCTGTAACAGACTGAAAATGCTTGGCCAAGACTTTGGCCATTAGTTTGTAACCAAAGTTCAGGAGCGTGATCGGGCGACGGTTTCTCACGTCCCACCTCTCCCCCTTCTTGTACAGAAGGGTTATGACATGAGGCCCTCCTCCATCCCCATTCCCAGGCAGCCCTCCTGCAGGCGCTCCCTATAGACCTGCAGCAGGTCCAGGCCCACCTGGTCCCAGAAAACACCAGAGAGAGGGGACGGAGGTGCGGGTTTTCCAAGGCAGCAGGAGGTGCAGAATGGGGCCCATCCCGCCCCATGTCCTGCCAAGCTCTGGGCCCCACGTGCCACGTGGCGATCGAGAAGCCTCAGGCTGGGGCAGGGAGGAGAAGCTCAGCCTACGTGGCCCCGTCATCCCCAGCTGGCACCAGGGGCCTGGCTCTCCCTCCTCGTGACTCTTGCCAGGGTCCCCGTGGTCTCCTGCTCCCAAAACTGTGGGCTGGGGTGTAGGTGCGAGGCCAGCTCCTCAGTTCATGGGCCCCAGGTCGGGTCTCGCGGTCAGGAGAGCGGCACTGCGCCAATCACAGGCCCAGCTTTGGGGCCGAGCCTCGCCAGAGCCCTTGAGGGCACAGGAGACAGCCCGGCCCTGGAGGCGGCTACGTGGCGATGCTGATGGGCCGGGGCAGGGGCAGGCATCGGCATCGCCCGGCGTACGGGAGGGCGCTGCATGTCTGGTGCCGCCGGCGGCCCGGCAGGCACAGGGGGCCCAGGAGGAGCCACAGGTAGAGCAGGATGCAGGCCCAGCATGAGGCCACCTTCACCCAGAAGGTCGACCAGCTGCCGCGCACGAAGGTCGTCTCCAGCGCCGCCGACTCGTAGCTGCGGAGAGACCAGACGCTGGGGCGCTGCATGGCGCCGGGGCCAGGGCCGGGCTACGGCGGCTTCCCGGTCGGTCGTGCTCCCCACCGGCCCCGAGCCGGGCTGGTGCAGGGGGGCTCCCACCTGAACCAGTTGGTGAGTGTCACCATGACGTAGAGCGAGGCGAGGAAGAAGCCAAAGTGCAAGGCTGCGTAGCTGTAGGTGACACGCTCCTGCTCGTCGTCCGCGGACCCCGGCCGCCCTGCTCGCTCACGCGCCCGCACTGCGCCCGATGGGAATGCAGGGGCACCT